GTCCGGGCTGGGGATTCGAACCCGCCACCTTAGGTGTACGTGGCTGGCGCCTTAGCCGGTTGAGCTATAGGCGCCGAGCCGTGATATTACATTCTTATAGGCAGAGTTGTTATATGCAGTTAACCTGTAGTCTTCTGAAAGGTAGAGAGAGCTAGTAGCTATTAAGTCAGGGTTGTCTAGCTGGCCTTTGGATCACACCTCTGACCTGGTTCTCTGACTTGTTCTGATCTTCTGATTGTTACTATCCCTGTAATTCTTTTCTCTTAGCTTCATATCCACATTGTCTTTGATGGTAACCGTGTGTTCCAAGCACAGATGAAGCTCTGGGGGGTAAGTGAAGAGAAGGGGGCACAGGAGGGGGAGGTAGATGGGGCAAAAGAAGGGCTAGACTGGAATGAATAGAGGGTGTATTGAGGGAAGGAGTTGTAGTGGGAAAGTGGAGGTTTTCTCTTTATTTGCTTTCATATTCTCTCTCTCCCTCTCTCCCCTTCTCTCCTTTTTCCTCCCCTCCCTTCTCTTTCTCTCTTCCCCGTCCCTTCTCATTTCTTTCCTTTCTCTCCCCCTCTTATGTTTTTCCCCTCTTTTCCCACCTTACATTTTTAAATTTTCATCACCACTTTACCCCCACCCCAATCCTTTTGATTTCTTCATTCCCTTTCTTCTGTGTTCTTCTATCTTGCCCTCCTCCTCAGGTCATAGACGTGGAACAGAGCTCTGTCTCCTTGATGCCATCTCGGGTTGAAATCTCCCTGGTCAAGGCTGACCCAGGATCCTGGGCCCAGCTGGAACACCCTGATGCACTAGCTGAGAAAGCTAGGGCAGGGGTTGTGTTAGAGATGGATGAGGAAGAATCTGAGGATTCAGATGATCTGAGCTGGACAGAGGAGGAGGAAGAGGAGGAAGCAATGGGGGAATAGTGATACCAGACAGTTGAGTATCTAGATAGGACCTTGTTGACTCCATTAGACAGGATATGGTTGGCTGTGTGGTGTCATTGAACGTTAAATAAATCTTGTATTCTGCAGTTTCACATAGTGTCATTCTCTCACCTCACAAAGATCGCATTTATTGCCACATTTTCTTTTTCTTTTTTAGAGCCTCAAGCTATCCCCCTGGGTAGAGTGCTGTGAAATCACAGCTCACAGCAACCTCCAACTCCTGGGCTCAAGCAAGTCTCCTGCCTCAGCCTCCCAAGTAGCTGGGACCACAGGTGCCCTCCACAATGCCTGGCTATTTTTTGGTTGCAGCCGTCATTGTTGTTTTGGCGGGCCTGGGCTGGATTCGAACCCACCACCTTGGATGTATGTGGCTGGTGCCTTAGCCACTTGAGCCACAGGCACCGAGCCGCCACATTTTCTATGTATGTTTTGATACATGCGTGAAAATAAGCACATGCAGGGTGGTACCTGTGGCTCAGTGAGTAGGCCGGTGGCAGGTTCAAACCCAGCCCCAGCCAAACTGCAACAAAAAATAGCCGAGCATTGTGGCAGATGCCTGTAGTCCAGCTACTCGAGAGGCTGAGGCAAGAGAATCACCTAAGCCCAAGAGCTGGAAGTTGCTGTGAGCTGTGATACCACGGCACTCTACCAAGGGTGACAAAGTGAGACTCTGTCTTTAAAAAAAAAAAAAAAAGAAAAGAAGCATATGTATATTCAATCTATTCTTTACAACCACCAGGTATCTAGTGAATACTTCCTATGTGCCCAGTTATGTGCTAGATGGTTTAGAGTTATCTGAATAACAGAAGACTTATTTCTCACAAGAAAATTATAAGGCTAGGCGTGGTGGCTCACATTTGGGAGGCTGAGGCAGGTGGATTGTCTGAACTCACAAGTTCAAGACCAAGAGCAAGATCCCTGTCTATAAAAAATAGCTGGGCATTGTGGTGGGCACCTGTAGTCCCAGCTAGTTGGGAGGCTGAGACAAGATGATCACTTGAACCCAAGAATTTGAGGTTGCTGTAAGATAAGATGCCACGACAGTCTACCAAGGGTGACAAAATGAGACTCTGTATCAAAAAAAAAAAAAATTATAGTCTGTCTGACAAAGATAATCTATGTGAAATAATAAACACCGGGTGGTGCCTATGGATCAGTGGGTAGGGTGCTGGTGCCATATCCCGAGGATGGTGGGTTCAAACCCGCCTCAGCCAAACTGGAACAAAAAAATAGCCGGGCATTCTGGCAGGCACCTGTAGTCCCAGCTACTTGGGAGGTTGAGGCAAGAGAATCACTTAAGCCCAGGAGTTGGAGGTTGCTATGAGCTGTGATACCACGGCACTCTACCAAGGACAATATAGTAAGACTCTGTCTCTAAAAAAAAAAAAAATGATAATAATAAACATCATCAGGTAGCTTAATGGAGTACTAAATTGTGCAGTACAGTTTTTAAGAACTGTAGGGGTCGGGCAGCATCTGTGGCTCACTAGGTAGGGCGCTGGCCCCATATACCAAGGGTGGTGGGTTCGAACCTGGCCCCGGCCAAACTGCAACAAAAAAATAGCCAGGCG